GCATGATCGATATCCACAACTTTGCGCGGTGGAACGGCGGCATTATCGGTCAAGGCGGGCCTACTGACGACCAGTTCGTCTCGCTATGGACACAGCTTGCGCAGAAATACAAGAGCAACGAAAAGGTCGTCTTCGAGCTGATGAACGAGCCGCACGACCTTGACATCAATCTCTGGGCGGCGACGTGCCAGAAGGTTGTCACGGCGATCCGGCAGGCGGGTGCGACGACGCAGATGATTCTGCTGCCCGGGACCAACTTCGACTCGGCAGAGCAACTCGTCAGCAGCGGCAGCGCGGAGGCTTTAGTGGCGATCAAGAACCCCGACGGCACGACGGACGGCCTGATCATCGATGTCCACAAATACCTCGACGAGGACAACAGCGGAACTCACAAGCCGTGCACAACCGACAATGTGGAGAGTTTCAGGACGGTTGCTGAGTTTCTGAGATCCAAGGGGCGCAAGGGGCTCGTTAGCGAAACGGGCGCCTCAAGCGATGCCTCGGTAAGTTTCGACGTTCATTATCGAAGGGAAACCCGAGACTGACTAAACATATAATAGTGTTTCACAAGCTTCTGCGCGCAGAACACCTTTATCAACCAGAATTCCGACGTCTTCATCGGCCTCGTCGCATGGGCCGCCGGTAGCTTCGACACCAACTACGTCCTCAGCCTAACGCCCAAGAAGTCGGGCAACAGCTACACCGACAACCAATTAATGAAGCAATGTGTTCTTGACACATGGGCGAATACGGAACAAAACGTAGCGGCGCCGGCAACAACGGTGCCTCTGCCCGTAGCTCCTGTGGCGCCTACCACTGTTCCGAGCAGAGCACCAAGTTCGGCGCCGGATCCAGCGCCGAATCCAGCGCCGAATCCAGCGCCGAATCCAGCGCCGAATCCAGCGCCGAATCCAGCGCCGAACCCACCGCTGAATCCGGCTCCGGCTCCGGCGCCCACCGCGGCTCCTAACAATGCAACAACGGGCGATGAGGCAGGTATCGCTCCCCCGACGACTGTGGTTAGCCTGCCAACCACATTGTTGGTCGATACTTCTACGCCGGCGCCGCCGGCACGAACCGGCTCTAGCGGAAATGGGACAGCAACGACAAGCTTGCCGACCATTCCGACAGCTGCAGGTTCGAGAATAGAGATGGCGGGAAGCTTGATTGGTCTTATCTTGCTCCCCATTTTATTATAAACCACCGGATCGTAAACTCGAAGCGTCGAATCAAAGAAATTATTGCGTTATCAAATTTCAACAAGTAAAGCAAGTGATGTTGTACATGCCTCTTCTTGATTTGCCAAATAAATAGAGATTTGTGACGAATAGAACGAGGCACTGGAGGCACAAAAGTGGATCCACAAATTATCATGCTGCAACTGTTGCTTATCTCACGTCAAGACAAGATATTTATGAAACGTTGCCATTACCTTACTTCAACCGCCGTACACTCAGCCTTCAGTAAATCCCAAGAAATTGAGTGCAAGGTTGCTCCTCATATTCGTCTGTTGTTAGAAGTGCAATTTGAAGAAGCTGGCCGAAGAGAAATCAAATTATAGCCAAAAGTTGACGTCTCACTAGAAACAAAATATCGGGCCTGTCGTTCTGACCGTTCATTATGATAGTTGTGTGACACTCTCTATCTCTATTCCGAGGTTGTCTATCCGTGACGTTGATCTTGAGCTTGCTATCTGCAGATATTTTTAGTCGAGGACATAGCAGCTGGATGCAAATGTCCAATGAGATCTTAACATGATATCCATACTGAGGAAGCCAGGGAATAAGATCGTATGAGAACGCTAGATTTCGGAATTCAGTTTCCATACAATGTGGCCAGTAAGCACCAGTAAGTAATCTTCATGCTCGTTGAAATAACAATGGTTTCCGACCATTAAGATCACACAACAATACGTAACGTTGGTAGGATGCATCTGGGCTACGATACTATACTACACATATCATCCAGCTGGGAAGATTCTTGCTGTAAGCTGATCTCAGGGTCATCATAAACCGGTTGCAATTATCCAACGCTGAAGCTTTGTCTAAGCCTTTAGTGCCATAGCATGATCGCAAACCAGAGGAAATAATGTTGAGACAAGCGGCAATAAAAGTCCTGTCGTACTTGGGTAAAGACTACAACTTAGTACTACGCTACTAAACTTGACATCTCAGTCCAACGTCTTGACCGATTTACAATTTCAATATACGCAGAACTCGAAGAATCCTTGCAAGTCTCAGTGATCAGCCAAAGTGCCAAGAACGCGTCTCAAAAACTGCTTCTGGCCTGCAATGTTCTTTTCATACGCAACACCACCCTTGTACAGGTCAAAGTGGCCCCCTCCTACCCTCAAGGCCTCTCCTAGAGGTGCTCGTCTTACGCACTCTTCAGCAGCATCCAGCGATACTTCGTGGTCCCATGTTGGCAGAACAACCAGGTATGGGCGAGTACTCTTGTGAATTTGCAACAACGGCCGAGACAACATGATGCTTAAGAGAGACCGCCCGGCAATAACGGTGGGCAAATCTTCACCATTGTCGGGTGCCAAGCGAACCCAGCCCTCTGCTGCCTCCTGCGAAGCCATCACTGCCGGGGTCGAGCCGTCGCTAACCAAGTTGACATAGCGCGGTTCTTTGGCACCCAATAAGTACGACCCGACAATGTCGGCTGTAGCCACCGCTGCCAGCCTCAGGGACCGGACCAAAGGCATCTGCAGCACACCAGCGAGTCCATCGACGAGCGGACACTGCGCGATACCCGCCGCCAGGTCGTGGTCCTCTGCCATGAGAGCCGTGACGTGCATGCCGCCGAAACTGCTCCCCCACGCGACAACGCGAGAAGAGTCGACCCAGTTGCTCTGCTCGGGCTCACGTACCCATTTTATGACGTCTTGGAAGTCTTGCAGCTGGTGCGTCACGTTGAAGACGTTGCGCGGAGAGCCTTCGCTTTCACCGAAGCTGATGTAGTCGAATGTGACGGCTGCATAACCCTCCGAGGTAAACTCGTCCGCGAACGGTGACAATCCGGCAGCCTTGATAGCTTCAATACCGTGTCCCATGACGATGGTAGGCATTGGCCGTTTCGATCCATCCGGTTGGTATATGGAGATTGCAATCTTGAGCCCATCACGGCTCGACGTAATAAACCTGTCTTCTATCGTGTATCCCATAATTTCGACGTCGATTTGCTTGACCCTTTCGTCGAGGGGCTTTCATCCAGAGTGAAAGCACAACTGGGTTTTTCTTCTTCTAAAAGCTCTTACGACTGCGCCTCACAAAGAATTCTAAATTGTCTCCCACAACATACCTACCAAGAACCACCTGCACGGGCCTTTTTGGGCCTCGTTTCATGATGACAAGACGTGACGAGGCTATCTAAACTTTCGTGGATGATAAAGTTGCGGGGAAGCTCCAAACGGATGGCGGGCGTTGCCGTAGGGTCTGCTGCCCAACCGTCGAGCCGATGGCCAGTACGTGATAAATGAACTCGGGTGTGAGCGCCGGCACCTGCCATGTCGGTCTCGCATCATCCGCCTCTTGCGTTTCCTCTACTTTCCCAGCTGCGATGGCTATCTTTGCAACAACCCACCCATCTCGCGATGTCTCCGAGAGACTCAGGGAGTTGTTTCGGACCCTGAGGTCCTTTGAGGTCGTGAGGCTAGTCACTCGACGTGGCTGGCCCAGATTTATTTTGTCTCTCATGCTCGCGACAGCAGCAATCCGACGGCTACGAAGCCTGTTGGGGCTGGCTCTTTTCAACAACTTTACTCGGGACAAGTACGACTGGAGAAGGGAGTTGGTGGTCGTCACTGGCGGTTCTGGCGACCTCGGGAATATACTCGTGCGGAAGCTGGCAAAGAACTGCATCAAAGTGGTTAGTCTTGATATTGTACCTCCAGAGAATCCGCTACGTAAGTCAACATGTATCTCCCGCCACTCATCTTCTGTTGACGACAGACGCAGCATCGAACGCATCCTTTTACGAAACGGACATCACCAGTTCCGCCTCCCTCGAAAAGGCCGCGGAGCAGATACGCTGTGATCATGGCGAGCCTACAGTACTGGTCAACAGTGCGGCCGTCATGAACATGGCTTCCATTCTTGACGAGACCGAGGAACAAATTCATCAAGTCTTTGATGTCAACATCATCTCCAGTTTTCTCTTGATCAAAGAATTCCTACCCTCGATGATCAAACACAACCATGGTCATTATGTCGACATTGCGTGTCGGGAAGTTTTTGCTCCTGGCGTGAACAACGTAGACTACGCATGCTCAAAGTCCGGCACCTTAGCCCTGCATGAGGGTCTAATGAAGGAGCTGCGGCATCGGTACAAGGCGCCAAAAGTTCGGGCAAGGTAGGTCGCAAGCACAAATCTCCTCTCCACTGTTTATAGATTGTCTAATTTGTTGACGGTTTCATTCTCTGTTAGTGTTGTCCATCTGCCTCACGTTAAAACAGCCATGGTTGAGAAGGTTAAGGGCTCCGGATTCCTTAAGTCAAAGATAGTCAAACCCGAACCCGTTGTGGACCTTATCTTCAGACAGATCATGTCTGGACGTAGTGGACATGTGCATTTGCCGGACTAGAGTTGCCAGGGCGCAGAGTTAGCCCTGATAGTGGATTCCAGGAGCTTTCAGAAACCATCACGAGGAGGTCATTTCTGAATGACTAAAACTCAAGCCGTAGTGTTATTCTGTTACCGTTATGTTGAGGTGGCACGGCTTTTTGAACGGTTCTGGTGGTTGCACACCGCACACCCTCTACTTAAACTATTTCCTAAAACTTTCTAATGCATATTGCGGTATATTTGCACGATTCATTAATGGAATATAGTGACTTGGATTGTGTGGCGATATAAACCGTAACTGCGCATTGGCAACTACGGATCTACCCTTGCAATCACAGAATGCCTAGTTGAATGGCTTTTCTATGTATATCTCTTTACGATTTGATCAACAGTTCAAGTCTCCTATTACTTCACTCTTAATTTCTGATACTCTATGCACCAGTCTCGTTGCGCATTTGCACGGTAGTCTTGTATGTCTTGAACTTCCTGGTCGGAATACCCTTTGTAAACATTTCGTCAAGCTCTTCATAAGAGCGACCACCGGTTTCGGGCTGGAAGTACCATAGGTAAAGAAGTGACAAGAAGCACAACCCGCCAAATATGAAGGAAAGCTTGGCACCCAGATTGACCTTATCGGGGTTAAACAGGTAAGGAATAACAAACTGCCACATGACGTTAATGCTGTTCTGCGATGCGTACCCAATTGCGACGGTCTTGGCTCGGAGTCGGGACGTCGATGTTTCGGCTAAGAGGGAGAAGGCACTGGACCCGATGGAAACGTTGTACCACGAGCTGTATAGGAGAATGAAGGCCACGGTTCCCTTGATCGTGGTTTGAGTAGTACCGGTTCCCCAGTCCTCCCGTGATGAGGGAGGAACGCCGTAAGTACACCCAAGCCGTAGAACGTTAGATTCCTCCGACCTATTTTGTCAATGACAGCGGCGGCCATCAACTTACCGACAATGGACAGAATTAGTTGGGCGGTCTGAAGCTTGTAACTCAATGAGGTGGAATAGCCAGCTAGTTGAAGATAGTAGGTGAAGTAACCGGCAACCTGAGCAGATCAGAGTTTAGCATCCGGTCAACCCATGGAATGCACTTCATTCCTTACCCAAGAGATGCCGCTGAAAGCTTGGATTATCAATGGCATGATGCTGATCATTGTTCTCCGCATGTTGGACTTTTTAAAACACTCCAGATAGGTAACGCCGTCTGTTTCTTGGCAAACCTCTTCCAATGTACGTTCTATGAGAGCAAGCTTCGCTCTTCCTTCGTTTCCTGTGTGTCCAAGTCTGCCTAAACTCTTGAGAGCTTCTTTCTTCTTTCCTTTGGACACAAGCCACCATGAGGACCTCTTACGAGTTAATTCGACTTGGGAAAGGAAAATGAGAAGGTGCTAGGGGGTGTGATTTACTCAGGCATAGATGACCAGAGGATGGCCGAAACTCTTGCAAACCCGAACTGACAGCAGAACACTGTGCGGTACGCCCAACGCGACTGGGATGTTCCAGTGTAGTTTATAGCGATGAAGGCGACCAATGGCCCGATGCCGTAGGCTACACCCACGCCGCAGGTAAAGAGACCGCACAATGCTAACGGAGTAACCTCGCCAATTTACGAGATCATGATCGTGCCAACTGCGCCGAACATGAAGCCATTGAGAAGTTTGCCGGCCAAGAAAACAGCATTGGTGGTTGCGATGAACTCGATGGCAACGGCAACGAACGATATGGCGATGGCAAGGACCTTCTTTCTGCCGATGAAATCTGCCAACTCGGCGGAGGCAATAGACGATATCACTGCGCTACGCGTCCATATGTTAGTCTCGAAGTGTAACTGGCTGAGAGATGTTTTTCTGTTGTCTCTCACGTTGCAATGGGAGCGCCACTGAATGAAGATTGCCACGCCGCTGGCAGTACGTAGTCGCCCTCAAACTTGTACCCAAAGTCTTTGCGAAAACTCGAGATGCCTACGACAGCTCCTGCAGCTTGAACGTCGAAACTGAGAATAATGATAGTCCAGCAGGCGTAAACACACCATACAGATGCCCGTGGGTAGCGAACAAGGGATTTCCATATTATGCCTAACTCGTGATCCTCGAGGTCGGCCGCTTGTGCCAGCTGGGAGTCTGTGCTAAGTTCGACATGTTTAGTGTGTGGGTCATCTTTTTCGGCTCCGGAGCCGTTGTTATGAGTTGTCATGGCCATTGATCAACTAAACGACAGAGAAAAAGAAAGAAAGATCGTAATCGTCGTGACAGTTGCTGAATAGCCAGAGACTTTGTTGTGGCCAAAAGGTTGATCATGGGCGGCGGCAGGCGTTTAATAGGCAAACGAAGAACGTCAAAACAAACAACGATGCCGCACCCAAAGGCCATGACGAACAAAGTATTCCTGGGAACATTCAACAACAACCATGATGTTACCCCATGGGGTAATGTGATCATGTGGGGGTGGATTGGGACAGGGTATGTCCAAGATATGTGGTTGTACCAAGTAGGCATCTCGAGGCTCCGAATTCCTCTTCCGCGATGGGTCCGCAGGGGTTCCACATTTGGTTGCGTGGTTCATGTTACCTATTAGGGATGAGCCTGACTGACATCCCAGTTCCTTGCCGCAATCCCGCGGGACCGTCTTACTGCCTCTTTAGATGGCACAGCGCGGTTAAGGTAAAAATAGCACGTAGTTGGTGCCAAAGCTAGGGATTGGCGTCCCTGATGAACGACTTGCGTTAATATCTTACGACGTTTGTCCGTTCAATGACGCCTGGAACAGCAACCTCAAGACAAAACCATGGGTCTTCATCTTGACAGACATCACCAACGAGCCCGATGATGCGGAATCGTTTTGTAGATATCTCACGTACGCCAACCATTTCCGCACTGAAGGCATAGTCACCGTCACGTCGACGTGGTTCGGGAACAAAGTTGCTCCTCGGACGGCTCATGGCGCGCAACAACGATCCGCTCTGGGTTCTATTGTCGGGGGGCGTCAACGTTCTTGCACAGGTCCTTGAAAAAACCAGAAATCGGCCAGACGCCGCGAAACTGCGCGAAAAGCTTCGCGTCTATACGATTTCGGATCAGGACGACTGCGGGAGCTGGATTCGCCAATAGTGGCCCGACATATTCTACATCTGTTCCATTCACGGCTGGAATCAATGCCAATGCGCGGCTCAACTGGTACCAATACCGCGAGCCCAGCTCGCTGCAGACGTATAACGGCCTAGAGATGTCCAATATCGAGATCAAGCCACTCAACGATGATCGCAGCAAAGCTGAGGTACTAGTTGCTCCTGCAGACAAGTCTTGTATCGTGGCCAGGGAGAAGATTCCTCTTGAACGAGCCCCCCCCCTCTCCACTTGATTCTTGAGGTCAAGGACAACGGCACGCCCTCTCTGACGAGCTATCGCAGAGTCATCATTAACCCTGTTGATAGAGATTTTGCCTCTAAAAAAAGATAGCGCAGAGCATAGATAAGATGAAAACGTCAGCACTTAGCATTCATTACGAGTTGCAGTAGTGGCGCGAGCTTAATTTTGTGTTGCGTGCCTCGAGTGGCGTTTTTGGGACCCAATCAGATGCACTTTCGGATGGTTGATTTTGTTTTGGTTTGAGCTCAGGAGGAACGAGCACCACAGGTGCTTTCAACTCCAATGAATCAAAATGCTATTGCACTATACTTCATCCAGTTCAATTAGCGGCAATCGGTCTACTATGTACTCCGGAGCCCCGTGTGGCACCCACATTTCCCCAAGAGTCGATCACAGTCTACCCAGTTCATTTCTTCTCTCTTTGCTTCATCATCTAATACTACGCTCTCACTTGTTTGCACCTCGACCCCTTGAAGCTCGTCTACGCGTTCAGGATGGTGCGTTTTGATACAAGCACGGGTATCCCCGATCTTTCTGGCAAGGTCATCCTCGTTACCGGGGGCAACGTCGGTCTGGGAAAGGAGACGATCACCCAGTTTAGCAAACACAATCTAGCACACATCTACCTTGCCGCCAGGAACGAGGCCAAAGCCCTGGCCGCGATCGAGGACATCAAGAAGGCAGTACCGAATGCAGCTCCCATCACCTTCTTGGAGATCGACTTGACGTCCTTTGAGAGCATCAAACGAGCTGCGAAGGAGTTCCGCTCCAAGTCGGAGACCCTGCACATTCTCGTCAACAACGCAGGCATCATGGCCTGGCCGCCCAGCACGACCAAGGAGGGCTACGAGATCCAGTTCGGCACGAACCATATGGGCCACGCTCTCTTGACCAAACTGCTGCTGCCCACCTTGCAGCATACCGCCAAAACGAGCCCTGACAAGGACGTGCGCATTGTCTCACTCTCCTCGGTGGCGGAGAATTGGGTTCCGAGTGACCTTTACAACTTTGACGACCTCAAAACCGACATGGCATCCACGGGGACCTGGGCCCGCTACGGTGCCTCCAAGGTTGCCAATATTCACCACTCCAGGGCTCTCGCCAAGCGATACCCTGAGATTCGCTGCATATCTGTGCATCCGGGAGGTGTGAACACGAACCTCACCAGCGGCCCTATAGCCAGCTGGCCGCTGATCAAACCAATCGTGGGTATTTTTTCACGACTCGTTTTATCTTCTGTCGCCGATGGGGCCAAGAACCAGATCTGGGCCTCAGTCAGCCCGGATGCTGAAAGTGGCGTGTTTTACTGGCCGGTGGGCGTCAAGGGAAGAGATTCCAAGCATGCGAAGAACGAAGAGCTTAGCGAGAAGCTGTGGGAGTGGACCGAGAAAGAGCTAGAAGCCTGCACTTGATGTTGGCTCGGGTCAGGCCTCAGCAATGTATAAGCGCTCACGAGTATGGATGTAGGATACGACGTGCTTCTTAGAATAATTGTAAAATTCAGCCTTTCCAAAAGACCAATAAGCTCCATCATTTTCATGGTTTGGTATTGCTGATGAGCCCGGATTGCCCAAGTGTCCAGCCCGTTTCCTTTCGTCTCTAGAACCACATGTCGTTGGCCTTAATAGTCTCAGCAATCTTGAAGCGCTTGTGACACATAGTAGCTTCGATATTACCGTAATTTTGAACTAGTCAAGATCGCTCTTGAAATCACTTGTCGCTGAAGACAGCATGGACTGTGATGAGCATCAATACTTGCAACGCATTGACGGCCATGTAATCAATACAAGTTAATTAATGGAGGCCTGTTTACCTGTACGCCTGATGGATATCGCAGTCAACGCAGGCTTCAGATGCTCCATTTCTTCCGATTTAAGCCCAACTCTATGAACTTCACGATTCGGTTTATATCGGCCTTTTGACGAATAGATATACATCGCAAAAGCAGGGTCACCAGGAGGGGGGGTTGTGATTTATAGTATCAAAGGTGTCTTGTCTCTTATAGTAAAGTGCTTTCTAGTGTAAAGTTTAATTAAGTAGGTGCCCTAAAACCACTAGTATCTACAAGCGACGTTACTTAGGAAGGCAGTCTTGTCTGGCAGTATACCTACTAAGGCCGGGGGGGCTAGCCTTATGCCAATACAGCATTGGATCATATCCAGAATATCTGAGCAAAAAACCCGTCGTTCATCTCGCTACTGAATGATCCATTCCCGGGCTGAAGCCTATGAACTGACTTTTTGATTATTGACAAACATATGTAAAGGCAAACCGAACGAGCGAAGAATGTTTGCAATTTTCCCGCACGTTTTTTTTTTTCGGTCTGTCACCACATCTGTCATTGATTTGAAAGCGACAATGAACTCTATATGTTACATACATAGCATAAACGGGGATGGTGGCTTTGAACAGAAGAACAACAATATTTTCGATATTACCTCTCTTACCAACAATAAAACTAAGCCTCAAGGCATATGTACTGGGAAACTCATGTCAGGGTTTTCTTCACCCTTGCCAAGCTGATCATAATATCGAAAGTGACACCACTTGGCCGGCTCTACATCCGGAGTGTGCTCCGCCTTGGGAGTCAAAGTAGCTACCGAGAGCCAAAACGCACAGGCATGTTTCCTTACCCAATGAGGGTTTTGGTATTCACTGGACTGAGCAAGCGAGCTAGACACTGTTCGGCAGTGCTCAGCAAGTGATGTGAGGCATCGAATTCCTCGCGTCGAATCTTCCCTGCTTGGCGGGCCCACCGTGCGGCATTAGTCTCGGACTCAGCGCGGATATCTCAAAATGTCCAAAGATAATCGTTTCCATCTGCCGTTCTCAATTTTGTCTCGAATACTAGCTGTTACCGTTGGAGAAATGCCCTGATACCCCTTCGTCCAACCAGCAGGGGCGATGTTCTGCGTAAATACCGGAAAACCACATATCCATGCGGGGGAATGTCTAACAGGGGCTTATCCAATGGCTCTTAATTATCCATCTGTCTCCACACTATATTTGGGACGCAACGATGCAGAAGAACTGTTTGGGTTAGTTGTCGCCCCCTTGAGTTTACTGCGGAATTATTATGACGTTAGGACAACAAGACGAGTGCAGAGTGCCAAAGCTCGAAGCAGGGATGATGTCATTCAGTTATGAAAAGTATAGTCAGCTTTTTATGGCTCGCGTGGTGTCCTGTTAGTGTATCTTGTTGTTATCATACCAAGCCGAAGCCTACCGATCTCCAAACAATGCCGTCAGCAATATATCGCCAGAGCTATTCCTAGGATTCACTTCAATGCCGTCTCAAGCTATAGTCTGTGCCTGTTATCTTTTGAATACTCTACAAGTTCATCTCCGGAATAGTTGTGCCGTAAACGATGTGCTCCTAAGCCCTTCAGATAAAGATAGGAGTCGGGATCCATAAGTGCTCGCAGACATGTGTGGCTCGGCAACCGCCCGTGTCTTTGCTCGGACCCCCAGCAGGCCTCCATCAAGACGCATATCAGAGGCCTATGCAGCGAAATGAGGTTCAAAATGGAATCTACTTGGCAGGCAGCTGTCTAGGTCTTTTGGCTTCATTCGGGCGAGCGGCAAGCACACCACTTTGTGGCGTGAGGGAGAGTCGATCCAGTGTACACTTCTCCGGTAATGCGACATGCGTTCAGCGAACAAGAGACGTACCTCCCATATCTTCAACTATTATGAAATGCGACATCTGACGCATCATACCTGTAGGTGATTAGCTTGTAACAATAAGTTCGTCAGGCATATGTCGGATGCAATGACCCAGTTAAAACGACATCTTGGGATCCGGGGCCTGACCATCGTCAAACCAACCATCCCGCTCTATATGATCCGCTTCAAGTGCTCTCCTTTCAGCCAAGATTTGAACTATAAGATACACTGATTATTCTAGGCGTCTGATATAACACGTGTTCTTCGGGCAAATGCCCACCACTCATAACAGCTGCTGTATCTACACGGCAAGTGCTTTAATTGAGTCTTGGTGCCCTTCTCCTAATTATCCTTGTGGGGACCTCGCGTGGCCACCCGAATGTGGGATGGATTCCGACAGCCCATTGAAGAAATATGGTTCCAGCGGGCCTCTCTGACATCCGTCGGCGTTCTGTTGGTGGACGTTTGGAGGAAGGTTTGGCACGTTTATGTGCCCTGACTGGCAATGACGATCTAGTGTACTATTGGTTTGGTTCGTCCAGGGTCAGCCTCAGAATCTATCCACAATAAGCCTCTCGGTTGCACTATATAGGCTAGTGATCGACTTCTCATGTGGCTCGTAAGGGGCAGTGGGGTCGTGAAGTACGAGTCTGTCCACTTGCTGCTTTTTTTTTATTGGAGCTGGGTATTGTACGGCCCTCAATGTCGCGTTCCAGGTTCGCTAGCACGTGGCCTCGTTGGAACTGGCTCGCGGGTATAGATTGTGATGATGAGCCGCAAAGTGTTAAACTAACGGGCCGCCCCGAGCCCGATCCCGGCCATTCTGTTGTTCTCTCCGTCTTCCCGCCTTGTTTCGACTTTCAGCTCAACGACACTGACAATGATCGAACCAGGCGGAGATGCGCCTATGGCGCTCGGCATCCTTTGGGGTTTGACGGCGATTACGCTATGCTTCGTCTTGCTGCGGTTGTATACCCGAATCTCCATTCTTCAAGCGTATGGCATTGACGACCACTTCTACAATTTTGCCTTCGTAGGTGCCTCCATGTTTTGGTGATTTGATTTAGGCCCTGCTAACAAGTTGGCTTTCAGGTTCTATTTGTCGCCTACGATATCATGCTCACGATTTCTGCCAACTACGGATTTGGTAGAAACGCCACCGAAATCGACCTGGTAGACTTAGCACCAGCAATCTTGTACGAGGCTATTGGCACGACAATCCTCGTCTCCGCCATTGTCGTCTCCAAGGCTTCGTTGGCACTGTTTCTACTCCGGCTTGTCAACACACGCATGCATAGGATCGTTGTCCTTGGGCCCGTTGTCATCCTCTTCCTCTTCGCCACCGTCTCACTTTTGGTCTTCTGGTTCTCCTGCACGCCCATAGAGTTTCTCTGGAACCGACTCATCCCTGGCGGGGCTTGTCATATCGACCCCGGCCCTATCTCGACAGCTGCTGGAGCCTGGAGTGTTGTTGTCGACTTCTGGTACGCCGTCACGCCATGGGCAGTGCTATGGAACGTCCAGATGCCAAAACGTGAGAAGATGCTCATCAACATCAGTATGAGCTTAGGTGTGATGTAAGTGGTTCATTGCCGTTATTCTCGTGTCGACAAGAAGCTGACTTTCTTGCAAGTGCTGGTGCATGTGGTATCAAGAGAGCATTGGAGCTTCACAACCTCGCCAGTATGAACTTCACCAGTAGGTAACCCCATAGACCGCCATGACGAGTCACACAATCGGCGTACTTGCAAGCGTTTAGAAAGCAGTCTTCACTAACACGATCAAATCTTCAACCAGAGGATACTGTACAGCTTATCATCTGGCACGCATGTGAGCTTGCAGTCACTATGATCTGCATCGGCATTCCCGTCTGCCGGCCTCTTTACAAGGGCTGGATTAATCAACTTTCTTCTCGAGGAGGCACCACTCCTGGCGCATATACGAAGGACCTGGCCGAGTCCGGTAGTGCATTCGGCCTGAAAACTATAGGAGGCACTGATTATTCAGTCAGAATTGGCAACAAGACGCCCGACATAGATATAACTAGCCCCACCGTACGGGGTGGGAAAGGGGCCAATAGAGATCCCACGAGGTCTATGGGCAAGGCGTATGGCGACGACAACAGCGTCGATTCGATCTTGGGCCCTGATGAGCGCCATGGCCAGGGGCGTAGCACCGATGCTGATAGGTATTCAAGTGAGGATGGCAAGGGCGGTAGTCAAAATATCTGGGTGAGATCCGAGGTGGTGGTCAAGTCGACAACACGGAACTAAAGCGACGCTATTGAGTTTTTCCACAGTAATAAGTCAACCTACCCACTTTTCGGCACCCCCCACATTTCGGTATACCAAAAATGAAGCTATCACAACTAACACCACTTTATTTAATTAACTATTAATAACCTCTTAATACTATAATAATACAGCTTTTAGCCTCACTAGGTAATTTAGATACACTAGATTTATCTATATTACTTTTAACTTTACTAGCCTCCTGCTATAATTACTACACCTCTTTAATTATTATAAACTTTATATTAAGATCTATATAAATAGCCTTCTGTTTCCTAGGTATACTATTAGTAACTTAGGCTTCTAAAAGGCTAATTTTTTACTAAGCAGTAGCTAGTATATAGGACTATTCTTAGAAGCCTTTTTTAACTTTTCTAAATAGTTAGCGTTATATAGTAATACTTTATTTTAGCTAGCTAAAAAGCTATAGTTAGTCTCTAAGGTCCTTTACCTTCTTTAGTATAGACTACTTTACTATAGATAAGGCTAATACTTAGCCCTCTATATTATAAGTATCCTAGGCTATATAAGTATCTTTAGTAACTACTTTAAGTAGTATTAATAGTATTATT